TTTTTTTTTAAATGCTTTCTATTTTCCTTGCTAATACACAAGGCCTTGAATATTGCCTGGAGCATCTTCAGTGCTACAACAGTTACAAATTACTCAGTAGAGATTAAGTTGAACTCTTTACTGGAATCACGTTTTCACTGACAGTTAGAGACAAGCATGAAGGCTCGTGTGATCCAGTGCAGGGCTTGGTGAAGTTGTTGTAAGAGGCTTTTTGCCTGATTTGATTCATTTCATCCTCGGTTGTTGTCAGCAGCTGAAATACACCGTGTGATGTCTTTTATTAGCAGTTTCTCCTTCGGCCCTTTGGCCTTTTGTCTCTTTGCTTACTGCCTCTCATGCTAATGAAACCCAGATGTTGCATCAGCATCAACTTGGCGAGAACCATCATTCGATTGTGTAAAGGCCGTGTGTTTGTTTTAAATGCCCTGGAGTATATTTGTAAAGCATTATAGATCATTTTTAGCGTCAAATTTGCAATCACAGCTAAATACAATTGTTCTCTTTATGCCCCAAGCTAAATGTTATTTAAACTGGAGCTGGAAAAATGAGTCTCATGGGTCACCTAGGTGTAACCGGAGTAACCCTTGTCACCACTGGGACACACACACACACAAAGATGCTCTCGCCGGGTGGAGGAAAATGTCTCAGTGGCTGAAAGTAACACCCTGTTCCTTTTCAGAAATAATGTTAAACCATGACATATCCCTTTCACACCTCACTATAATAGCATTCCTTGCAGTAGTTTGTATAGAGATGAACTCCTTGTAACGATGGGTGACGTGGGCCTAGCAGTGGCAAAGGGACATTTTGACGAGTGCAGATGTGACACAGGATGCAGCAGTGCTCTGGGTGTTTTCTGTATGAACATATTATATATTTATGCACTTGTTTTGTTGTTATGTCAGCTGATATACTTCCGCTGCTTGTCAGATAACATGCCGTAGGACTAAATTATGGCCACGACTGGCTGTTATTACACTCGGTAAGATCTAAGAACAGTAAATTCTCATTCTTCTTGTCAGACTTCTCCAGATGTGCTCGTCTTTTTGTTTGGCTTTAGGGCTTGTGAATCTGTAAGCAAATGGGTCATGTCCTCCCAGGTTTATTCATTTTGAAGTGGTGTATATGTTTGTTGTGGTTCTGCACCTAGTCCATTACTATTTTCCCGTTTCCTCCAGCAGGTGTCTTTTTTTTTTTTTTTTTAGCGGATTAGCTTTAGGCTCTCTTGTGATGAAACTGCAGCACTATAAACACAGTGCTTCTGAGGGGAGGGCGAAGTAGCTCATTTGATTTGTTGTGTCCAACTCACTTCCAGCAATGTCATATTTGTAAATTGGAACTCTGACTACAAAATTGCTAAAAATCGGTGCCAATTTTGTGCTTTCACAGTCTTATGCTTACAGAAACATTTTACCCCCTTTTTTTAGTGTTTCTCCTGCCTTTCTGTGTCATATTTTGCTCTCTCTTTCTCCATTTTCCAGCTTTTGATTTCTCAGTATTTCTCCTCGCTCTCTGTTTGGTCCCAATTTTTTTTTCACCCCCCCCCATCTCTCCCAGAGTGCTGCTGTGGTATGTTGCTCATTGGTGTAATACGCTCCCTACCCCCATCCATATTTCTGCTTCTCTTTATTGTTTTAATGAGTGCCATCTGGATTAGGACCAGAAGCCTCCTCCTGCCACACTTGTCGCTGAGCCTGCTCTGGCCATATGAAAAATAATTTCATGCTTGTATGAGTTCATTTACAGTGCTGTTGTGTCTCCATGAATATACAGTACACTAAAGCTTGTGTCAACTCTGTCTCTCCCTCCACCCACACAAACACACTTGCATGCCTCAGATGCCGAAGTAAGAAGTTTGACTACCGACATTTACCTACCACCTCTGTGATCATAGCCTTCTACAATGAGGCCTGGTCCACCCTGCTGAGGACCATTCACAGCGTGCTGGAAACCACGCCTGCCGTCCTCTTGAAAGAGATCATCCTCGTCGATGATTTCAGTGACCGAGGTTTGTAAGCGTGTGTAATTTTGTCTCTGTACAAGTAAAATGGGCAAAAAGTTGTCCTACGAGCTGTGCAACAAAGCTGACTGACAGCCTCGGCCTAGTTTAGTAAACCAGTTGAACCAAACCTCATTTGCGTGCCGCTTTGATTTTGGCACAGTGACAAAGTACAAAAGACGATTCAAGAAGGAGCCTGCTATATATAGAAATAAAGATGCTGTCTATAGTGGGATGAATAGTGAATGCCTTTGAATAGAGCAATTAGAAAAAAAACAGTCCTCTGAAACAAGTCCTGACACATTTCCTGTCCTGACAATATTCCCAGAGCAGATAAATCTGCTCAGGAAGGATAAGAAATTTAAAACTTGGCCAGGTAATTAAATTAAAAAAAAAGGTTGTGTTTAAAATTGTGATTGTGTGAGTTTGTTTCCAGTAAATTTTGTTATTTTGTCATTTAAGAACAAAGCAATATAAATCTTTAGCCAGCATCTTTATAAGCAAGTCGGGAACTTAAGCAGGAACATTTGGACCTCAGGAACAGCACAACAGTAGCAAAACAGCCTACACTCTGCATCTGCCCCTGGCTTTTGGGGTGCTTTCAGTCACATCTCGCAGTTTTCATCAGTAAATGGATTCTCTGCTGTCTGCTGACTTGTGCTGACTCTAAGAATGATACTACTACACCTCAGAAACTGGATATAGGAGGTGCTTGATGTCTGTCTGTCTTAATGGAATTAGTATTTGGTCACAGCAAGACTAGTCTGTGCGGATCAGAGACATTACACCATAAAGATGACCTCACTGAGCACTGAGTTGCAGTGACATCATTTCCTTTCCTCCAGCCACTCTGACCAATTGGAATGTTAGACATGCCACTCCTAAACCAGACAGCCGGCTGCTGGAGGAGTGACAGCTTTCCCCTTTAAAGCTGGCTAAACCGGATCTAGCGTATCAAGTTTTAGTGTTGACGTGTGTTTAAAACTGCATGAATCACCTACTACTATTTTTGATACCAGCATTGCCTCAATAAACATGATAAATATGCAATAAAACAGGGTGCTGGTATTTCCCAAATCATCAGGGACTAGTATGCAGTTCTGTAGTAATGACGCACGAGCAGCCAATAAAACACAAATGAAGGAGTAATAAGTTGGTGACAAGATGATTGTTTTGTGTCAAGAGCTGATGAACATTTCACTTCATAATCCGTAAATATAGAAGTACCTGTGTGTCTGTCCACTTGTTTTAATACTAAATCATTTGATATCATGATTTCTTTGTGTTTGCATTACAAAAATAGGCTACCTGAAATCCAAGCTAGCCGACTACATCAGTGATCTGCAACGTGTGCGTCTTATCCGCACCAACAAAAGGGAGGGGCTGGTTCGTGCACGTCTCATTGGCGCTACCTATGCCACCGGTGACGTGCTGACATTTCTTGACTGCCACTGTGAGTGTGTTCCTGGCTGGATTGAGCCTCTGTTGGAAAGGTGCCTAAATACATTTTTAACAACCTTAACCGAAAAAGGATGAAATTGTTTTTAAGCTTTAAGACTCACATTGAATCAACTTTTCTTCCCCCCTTCTTTTCATTTTTTCCTGCCACCCTCCTTTCTGCCTGTTATGGTCTCTTAGGATTTCTGAGAATGCGAGTACCATTGTGTGCCCTGTGATCGACACCATCGACTGGAACACGTTTGAGTTTTACATGCAAACAGATGAGCCAATGATCGGAGGATTTGACTGGAGACTCACCTTTCAGTGGCACTCTGTCCCTGAAATTGAACGCAAGAGGCGCAAGTCTCGCATTGACCCCATCAGGTAACAGTATGGTACTTTCCAAGGCCTACTTTCAGATCACTTTATCAGCTTGACACATATCAGTGAAGAGATCTGCTCTCATGAAGCGTAATCTACCTTTAATTACTAATTTGTCACTTTGCATACTTTATTACTTTTTACTTGCTTATTAAATTATACTTTTATTAAACCCTCACATTTTTAGGGTTTGCCCAGCACATAAAAATATTGCTTCCCCAAAAGATGTTTTGTCTTTCCCCCAAAGAAAAAGCATCGTGGCTGTTTTTTTTTAAAAGGAGGATTTCATTTACTCAAGATTAACATGCACCACTGAATGGCCAGAGTAATATGAAACTAGATAGACCACTGTTAAGTGAGGTAACAGAGACTGTTTTAACTTTATTGAGACCAGTAGTGTTTGTATTCATAGTCATTCCCCAAATGCCCATTTTGAGTCAGGAGAAATCCTCACTGTGTGATTGATCTTTAAAACACTGGGAAATCCATTATGCTTCCTGCTACCTTATCATTTTCTCATAGCCTCAGTTAATCAACTTGTCTATATTCCCGTCCTCCCATCTCTTTGCTGCATTTGACACCACTGACACAACATTTTAATACAGGTAAAAAAACACTGATATTAAATTAGCCTCACCAGGACAGTTTAGTTTGTATTCATCAGTTTCCAGTTCGTCTTACGTGCGCAATTTCGTAAACAGTTAATGTAGTTAGTTTTGCTTAAACAGTTGAATAAAAGTTGAAAGTCTGCAATTACAAAAATTACAAAAGTCCTGTCATTATCCAGAAACTTATGGACTTAATTATAGCTTTTTTTTTTAACTTCTAAGCTGGACTATTTACACTTGTTAATATCAAGATGTCGCAGCAGTTCTCTTATAAGCTTTCAGATAATCAGAATAAAGCATAAGAAATGATATATCTCCCAAATTATCTTATTGTCATTGGCTTCCTCATTGGCATACTCCTCACACATAAAGCCTTTAATGAACCAAAACCCCACCATATCTTAAGGACAGTGGTACCGTATTATCCCAGTAGAGCACTCTGCTGCCAGAGGGCAGGTTCACTTGTGGTTCTTAGAGCCTTTGACTATAAACCTCTTTCCTGGGGAACCAGCTCCCTATTTAATTCAGAGACTGGCACTAGCTCCACTTTTAAGGTGTTTTGAACCTAGGAAACCCTAAACCATCCATATGTCAGTCTCTGCAAGTATGGATGCATGGATTTGGTTGGAACTGATTGGATTCATTGAGTGAAAGGTTACATACCGATGTTCACTTGTATGACACTGTTACAGTTCAGTAACGTTGTATCTTCTGTTCCATAATTTGTGTTATTTTTCTCCCTGTCATCTTTTTTTGTGTCCCTTTCTGTAATTTTTGTTTCAGAGCCTTTTTTTCATAGCTTTCCTCTAACCCCAACTGCTCAAGGCAAATGGCTGCCCTCCTTAAGCCTGTTTCAACCAGACATTTCTTCCTGTTGAAGGAAGTTCGCCAACTACTTGCGCAGAGGGAATCGCTGAGTTTTCTGTGTAACGGGATTGAACATGGCCATGATAAAAATGATCTTGTTTTTCTTGTATTCTCACAGGTCTCCTACTATGGCTGGGGGATTATTTGCTGTTAGCAAGGCCTACTTTGAGTATCTGGGCACGTATGACATGGGCATGGATGTGTGGGGAGGAGAAAACCTGGAGCTCTCTTTCAGGGTGAGTTAATTTTCCATCAGTCAGAATCACAGTGAAGTGTCTGCTTAGCCCCCACAGGGCCACTTAATCGATATTAGACCTGAGTGGTTCTTTTAAAACATTTCGCGAAAGACTCACTAATCTGAGTTGCTTTGTTACCAGATCCAGACAAACCATATCTTTACTCAGCTTTTATTTTACTGCGATAGAGAGCAGAGAGAAAGATCATTAAATTTAGTTAGAAAATGTTTATCCTGTGCACGCTGGTGCGTAGTTGGCGTGAGTCAGTGTCAGATCACAGTCAGTCAGGGTATGTGAAACTGCAGCCTTATATTGGCTGATACCTTGTTGTGATGTTGGTGTCACTTTTCACTTGCTGGCGTCAATCAAGCTGGCACAGATTTTAAGCAGGAGCATGCAAGATTAGGAATGTAAATTGTGTGTGTATGATTTATAGTGTGTATTTGTCTGCATTGTGAAGAAGAATGGGCTGTTCAGCTGAGTGATATGTTATGCATGTGGAAACAAAAATGCCTCTCACCGGGACTTTTTCCCATACATAATTTATGTTTAGTGAATTGGTTTCTAGGTCTCTTTTTTTGGAGTGCTGAAAAATAGTGGTGCGGTGTAAAATGCTTTCTGAATTAAGATGGAAAGGACTGTCTTGCATTAGCTGTTTGCCTATGGACATATGATAATGGCTTTGCCTTGTGTAGGAGGAGGTAGAGTGGGTCATTTACTAATCACAAGGTCAGTATTTTGATCTCTGGCTCCTCCAACCTGCATGTCAAATTATCTTTAGGTAAGAAACTGAACCCCAATGCGGAGTGCGAGTGTGGAAATTAAAAAAGCACTTAGGTGAATGTGTGGGTAAATGGTTAATAAGACTTGTGTAGACAAGCACTAAATCAATACCAGACCATTTCTTTAAGGATGTTAATCTTTTGTTTGATCAATGGTGAACGATCCAGCCATTAATTAATGTAAGGTAAAAAGATATTGTCTGTGTAGGTTCTATTATAAATGCAGCTGTATGACTCACAAAAGTATGTGTTGAACCTTTGTGGTAAGATTGATAAAGCACAGTTTCTTCATTCAGATAATACCTGTAGTAGATCATGTTTTGTAATCTTTGTTTAAAAGGAACATCAAGACAAGGTGGACCGATACACATAAAGTTAAACGGAATCATGTGGCGACCAACAGCTTACAGATACAGCACATGCCCAATGCACCAACCTTACACCAACTTACAGCAGCAGCTGTGTGGCTTACCACCACCTCTGTTTTTTCCCCATGACCTGTCTCTCTCAAGCTGTTCCTATAATATAAGGACTTAAAAATAATGTTAAGAAGCTGAATCACCATGTTGTAATATTTGATGGAAAACTGTGCACAGTGTTATTGTCAAAACACACCACAATAGACTTATTTCACAGCAGCCATTTGACAAAATGTAGTAGTCAAACACAGGTGTTACTACTGCAGTCATGACGGTTCTGATCTGTTTCAGTGCTGAGCCCTCATTAAGGCGATTAGTAACAGCTGTCTTTGCCCACGATTTCATGTCAGGGTGGCTGCTGGGAAAAAGATTCATTGTGGATGATGCAGTCCAAAGCGGAAAAAAATTACACAGGTGTCAAAGGCACCCATTAAAGATGGTTGAGGTCCATCAGGTCAAATGTACAGGAAATAGGTGGCCCAAGTGTTAGTAATCCCCCAACCCTCCGCTGTCCCATGTGAAGGGTCTCCATGTGGTCTATAATTGTTTACCAGCAGTGAGGTAAAGCTGGTAATGTTTTTACCTTGTGAGTTTTTGCAAAATGTTGTTTTGGAAAAATCTTCAGCAGTGGAAACAACCTTCTCAGGCACCTTTGATAAATCTTTATATGTCTGCCTGTGGACAGGTATTTCGGTTTCCCATTACTCAAATTTTACATTCTCGACTCCTTTTCCTTGCATCTTAATCCTTCCCACTAAAGATGTGAGGAGGAAAGGACACGAGGATCAAGGAGCTGAGGCTACAGGTGTTTTAACAATATGAGACATCCTTGCCTTGGAGCCTCATTTTAAATCAATGTCAGTTTAATCCTAGATGTGGCAAAGCTTGGTCGTAAATTGTTTTGTTATAGCCCAACCGCTGCTGCATTTTTATGACTGCAGGTGTAACAGTGTTCATGATGTTTTATGTTACCGGCTACTTTTGATTAAATTTGCAATATGGCTCATTTTAATCACACATAAGAAGTGAAGGGCAGACTGTTTGATCATCCACTGAAAGAAATGTATGAATAAAAAAAGACTGGTTGTTTAAAAGTGTCCTCTTCCTACTATTGTTTACATATTCTACCTGAGTAGCATGGTTTTTTTTAAACACTGAAGGTAAAAATACGGTAGCAAAGCAAACACTTGTGCATTCTTGATTATAGCTCCTCCAGCAACCCTCCTCTCTTGTCTGTCTTCCTTCCTTCCCTGTAGGAATTGAGGCGTCCTTCGACAAGGCGTACTGAGATTAATTTCCAGGTCGCAGGCAGGACGATGAAGGGCAGAGAAGACATAAATTAGGGAAAAGACAAAAGTAACACAAGCATGCAAAATGCAGTCGCCTGACATGTGTGTAAGGCTGAGTTTGAAGACAGGTGTGATAACCCATGAATACTGAGAACATGCGTTACTGGTGGGGCACACATCTCACACCCATCTATGGTTTAAGTACTAGATAAAGATACTTGCATGAGAGAGAGAAATACGTTACAAAATAAAAACAATTAGAGGCATCGGGTGAGAGGGACACTTGCTCCGTCGCTCCTTACTTTTAGCCCATATTACACATCGTTTGTGCTTGGGCTGCTCAGCAGCCATCTTTGTACTTGACCTTAATTTTCCTGACAAACACAATCCTGGAAACGTGATTGTGTTTGTTTTTTACTCGTGTTGTGAGCACGTTAACATATTGTAGAAACTTCACTTGAAATCAGGTAACATTAACATTTGAGATCTGTGGACTCCACTAAAGAGTTTGTGTTTTAATATTTGTATTTTTTTTTTATTTCTTGATTGTTGTTGTGACACAGTTGTTATCTAGAAAGGTGCTATATAAATACATTTTACTTTACTTACTTACATATCTGCCACCCTTAGGTGTGGCAGTGTGGGGGCAGCCTGGAGATTCATCCCTGCTCGCACGTGGGACATGTGTTCCCTAAAAAAGCCCCTTACGCACGGCCCAACTTCCTCCAGAATACTGTCCGAGCTGCAGAGGTCTGGATGGACTCTTACAAAAAGCACTTCTACAACAGGAACCCTCCAGCCAGAAAGGTAAGACACTTTGCATGTGTCGTGCACTGATATGTTGTCACACTATCCAGCACCATGTTTAGACAGTAAATTGAATAGTTTATTTTTGGTGTCAGATTTAGATGATTCATCTAACTGCCCCCTGTAGGTGTGGATATAAGATCAGTATCTGACTGAGTGGGTTAGGTGTATTGAGGTACTGAGGGTGTTCACATGTGTGTGTATGGTGTGAGTGCTGTGCCTCTCAGGTTCTGAGTATTGGGCACCATCAAAGATTCATGTATCTCAGTTTCAACTATCTGAAAAAAAAGTGCATTATTAATGTCAGGGATCTTTGATCAAACAATAAATTACCTGGTCAGGGGAGATTGAACACAGCACAGACCAAGATCATCAGCTCCAAGTCTATTACGTTGCTGTCATAATTTGTCATGCAGCTATAGAGCGATAGACGTGTGACTAGTTTGATTAATGAGCTATATAATTTTCATTGAATACATTTAATCATGTTGATATTCCAACTTTTCTTTACACTTTTCTAAAGAAAGAACAGCTGTTATAAATGTATTTTCTATAAGGAATTATTGTTTTATGTTGTTTTTTTTGTTCATTTATTTTAAATATTTTTTCTTGTTAATTTTGAGATTGGGAGCACAATGCAGTAAGGATCACAAAGAAAAAGTACTCGATAGATCAGAAATCTTATGATTGAATTAGTTT